TCACCTCTCTCGAGACTTGTCAACAACAGATCCGGTAGGGTGCTCAGCACTTAGGATTTATATTTAGCGGTTCCAATGATATTTTTGTATTATATTTTCATTTCATAGGCAGGCCAATCCATACAAATAACTAGCTATGTAATACTAAGCTAAAATCTATTGGATTTATTTAATTTAGGTTTGTGCTTTGTGAGACTTAGGTAGGTACACAAAAGACAACCTTATGGTTAGAGGTATAAGAAAACCTTTCCAGCCAAACGCAGAATACAACTTTTGCTAGGATAATCTTAGAATAATGTGTTTCCTATAGAATCGGCTTAGGAATCTCAAATCTTTCAAAAGATCGATAGATATACCGAAAATGCAATCATTATAAAAAAAGAATTCTTGATTACAGTTGTCATTAAATAATTGAAGAATGTGATGTTAGAAAATGTAAAGTAAAATATTTGAGTACCATTTTGTATGATGCAAATAAAATTATCAAAATTTAGAAGATGCAGTTTTAGCGCTTTCGGAAATTTTATTTTCTTGTTGAGCATGTGAGAGGAGAGTTGTTTTTATGACCATATTTTAACAGTTTTTGGGATTAATACGATTAAGCGACAATATTCTCCAGCATCATAATTTGCCGCCATAAAATATATAATGCCTTTTACGTATTAGGTGTATGATATAAAATGTTTCTTTTACTCAAAAATACTGAACAAGGAGATTTTCATTAAGAATTTATAACTTTCTATTCCAAAACAGGAAATAAAACCCTTTTAAATCCTTAATAATTGTCGTGCTTATCGGAATACATCATACACTGAGTAATGATATGTAATAATAATATGTGACTATTGTTTGTCGGAAAGTGTATTACAATAGAGTGGATTACAAAGTGTTTGCCCGTATTTGTCGATAACTCTGTTCTAATCTGTATGTATTTTTGAAATACGTTTTTTGACAATATAATTGTGTCTATATGATAGAGATCCAAGACATTATTAAACTAAACGTTGTCTTAAATTATTGTTTCGGGTTTTTTTACAGTCGACGAATTATGCGTAGACATATTTTAAAGTTAAATAACCAACTCCTTCTAAGTAATCAATTAGGCATATTATCATTGTTTAGTTAGTGTGTGCTTTGTAGGTCTGTTCCCTGATGTGGGATGGGCGTGTGTCAAGAACGAGTAACTATAGTAGTGATACGTGGCCTACATGGCTGACAGGTGGATGTGTTCGAGGACGAACTCAGGTAGATCGCACCCTAAATTATTGAAAACGCCTGTGTATTTTGTCACCGTGCAAGATGATTCTCCGAAAACTTGTTGTTGAATGACAATAATTTGAATATAGCACAAAGAGACACACGTTGATGTATCAGACGGGCCGCGTAATCAAACAGACATGACGTGTTAATGTGTTATATAAACTGTGCAGTAACAATACAACATTATATAGGTTTTAAATACCTACTACAACCTTTCCATCGGTATTGTGTAGATGATAATAAATTGATATTATTATTTCGGATGAAGTGTGTCCGCTGCAGATACGCATAGAAAGAATCGTTATATTTTAAATATCTGCGTTTAAACAGAAAAATAAACATTTTTTTTTCCGTCATAGTACTTCTTCTCAGATGATCTAAACAATATTATATTTAACTCTCAAGTGTATGGGGTCTTGTGCTTTTCCAATTATGACGCTCAGCAGGTAAGTACCCACAAGGTAACAGTCGGTAATGTCATAAAATATGATATTAACATGTATACGTCTTTTAACGTCCCATTTAATTGTTTGTTTCTACGAAATAATAAGTATTGTACGCAACTATATACGGACTACAACACAATGTTTCGTGTTCCTTATATTGTTGTTACCCACGCCAAGCATGACGATATTCCATATTATAATTATATTATATTATAGCTGTCGAAGGGATCTTTTGATGTCTGAGCTAATGTACAGGTATACAAACGAAACATATAATGTACATATATATATATATATATATATATATATTAATAATAATAACAATAATAAATAATAATAATAATCGTCGGGAGAGTTTTGGTGAGCTTTGGATGAAATATTGTTTGCCGGTGTCAAAAGGATACGCGTGTATAGACACCTACACCTATAACCTACCTATATACTATTGGAAAATCAATAAGTCACGATTCTTTTTTGATACGCAAATGACCCCGTTCAAAAGCACCGCTTTCCTCGGAGAGATAAACCTTTATTCTGTCCATATTTCTTTTATTTTCACTCACATAAATATCCCCGTTCGCGTCCATCTCCCTTCGTTCCCTATTCACCATTCTTGCGCGCGTGGCCATCTTTTATACCGGATTAGGAATCACACGTAAAGGATGCCATACATATACAACACGTGCAATGGTGATCAGAACGTTAATAATTCAAAATAATCGTACCCGGCCGATTGCGCCCTATACAATATATGTACTCACTACAACCGTATCCAAGAGTAGATAATAAATGAGCAACAGTGCGCAGTGAGTACTATATATATATGTGTGTGTGTGTGTGTGTGTGTGTGTGTGCAGTGATGGGTACAAGTAGTGAGTGTGCGAGGTAAAGTGTATATTGTACGGTATTGTGGCGGGGAGGTTTTTCAATTTTGTAATTTGTTCGAGAAGCCATTTTTTCCCGCAAAAAACACATTGCCCAAACGATAATATAATATTATGGCCTGTGCCGCGTAAAACCATGGCCGATGAAGGGGATAAAATGATTATTTTTCGCTGATTAATTATTCGTGTAACATTATCACAACGTCTAGTAATTATTATCTTAACGACGTAAGCCGTCGTTGAACTCTTTTTGCGATTCATATACTGTTTAGATATAAAACTATGCTAAGCTAAAGCACAGAACAGTTGCAGTTATAAACGAGTATTATTATTATACATTTCAGGTGTAGGTTATAGGTTGGGAACAATCTTTAAAAAAATATCATATCAATTTTCGTATTTTTTATTGTGCGCAGATTTTATCTTTACCTACGTTAAACCAAATTACCACGGTGACATTACCAACGAGCCGAAAAGTTTTTAATTGTGACAAAAAAAAGTTTTAAAATACACTTCGATCGTTGTGTTACGGTCCGAAAACTGACAAATCCTTCGTAAATAATATATTATTTACAATAGTGACATTTGAACGGAACAAGTTGACAATAATCTATTAAAAAAATGTTGATATCTCTATAAAATCGTTTTGGACAACCCGACAACGGTCATGTTGTAGTGAGCAAACTATGACTTTTTAATAAATAAAAAAAAACATCTAATGTAATGATATGCTTATCACATTATTTAACACCACTCCGGTCGTGATAGGTATCATTGTGTCAACCTACCTAATATTATTATGCGATAATGTCGACATTTAAAAATGCGCCCACCCATAGTAATAATTATAAAAAAATGACATTGTTAAGTGTATCTAAGCCTTATGACAATATTTCAATAACTTATAATAATATAATATGCTGTGAACATTAAACAGTGTGCAAACAATAGGATCTATATATAGGCACTTGCAGACTGTTTATATAGCTGATGCAGCTTAGTATTCGCTTTGACTTTGGTGCGTATACATATTACATATTATATGTTGTGTACAAAACAACAGCGGTATCATTTTACGGTAGGTACCTATGTGCATTCAGTCATTTATTCCGAAGAACCTAATATTATAAATAAATTATTCTGCACACAGAAGTTGGTTTTCAAAGTTAGTGTTATCACGTTTATCCTTTGTAGTCGAACCCATACATACCTCCAAGACGCACACACACACACACACACACACACACACACACACACACACACACACACACACAGATTTATTAGTATATTTTTCAATAACGTTTGACTCTTTATGTGTTCACGAACCTATTTTCTCTCTCAATTTTTGTTTTTCTGCACTCGCAACCTGGCCGAATGCAATCGCAAATTGTCCAATATAATATTAATAAAATTGTATATTATATAACAATACATTTGGGCACAGCTCATAATACATTAATATTTCAGATTCAAACAGTTATTAATCGATTAACGTTTAGGGATAATATCAAGATTTTTACTGTCATATTAAAGCAATTTAACTAATTTAATAATTATTATATTAGCTGTAAAATATTCCATTCTGCTCTTAATAGCATTTTGATGAGATACATTCGGGAAAGATATTATGGCAATATTGTTGATAAAGTTCAATGCGATATTAATTAATACTTGTGTTTAGTACGAAACTTTTAATGGTGATTATATTTGGTGTATAGACTTAGTATAAAGAAGTTTCGCGTTAATGTCAGTTAACAAGTTACTAATGTGTTAAAATATTTAATTTTTCTTCTAACAAACATATTTTCAAGATTATAACTTTATACTTACGTACATATAAAACTATAGAAAAAGATCAATTTAATCGGCTTAAATTTAATTTCCACCATCAGGTGTTTTTAAATAAAAACATGCTCGTATAATATTATATAAATACAACTGAGTACCTAATTTAAAGAAAAACATTCTTGTATAATACAAAAACAAATTGTACTGCCTATTTATTTTTTCATTTGTGTGACTTAATAGTAGCATCTCATTTGAATTGCCCGATATATGTATTTAAAGCAAAATACTTTCATAAAAGTATAAAATATTAATCGATTTTATTCATAAATATTTTAAATATTAAGAGGTACAAACAAATTACTGATACTCTTTTCGTTTCACTTAGTTCAAATTAAAAAAAAGTTCTAAAGTCTAATACTTGTAATTTAAGAAAATGAAAATTATTTCAAGGAACAATTTCAGTTTTTATAAAATATTATGTTGTTTCCATAACATCAACATATTTATCTGTAAAAAACTCGAGTTTAAATAATATTATGAAGCTTACTTATTTTTATTTATTTTCCCATAGGATATAGTATGAATAAATCTATCCGCCCAGTGGCGTGGCGAACTAAAAAATTTTCAGAGGCAAGTATATTCTTCGATAACCACCCACCCACCCACCTAAGAGCCCATGACCTATTATTGAACATTAAACACTAGGTTTGTATTCTCTCTCTTAAAAATTGGCCTATAAAAACATTACATTTATGGGTTTGTGGGGAAATTGCCTCTATCAGGCAATTTCAAAACCATGTTATAAGATTAATCAAAATAACATTAAATGAGATAATATTTTTTAAAAGATCACTTTGGTGTTTAATAGGGTTAAGTAGCACAAATTACAATAATTAAAATATCACTTAATATTTTATTTAAACAATAAATTCTGCATCAAGAGATCGGAGGACTTTGCAAATATGTCAATTGCTTCATTACGATCAATTTCAATATCTCTTTCACAGCTTAATATAAGTAAACTTTCCAACCGATTCTGCCCAATGGTTGATCTAAGCCTAGATTTAACTAGTTTTACCTGAAATCATAATTGTGATGATTTGTATTTTTAGTAAAATTAGATTTTAAAAAACAATATTTGGTTAATAAAAATATAAAATAATAGGTACAGTTAATAATATTATTATTATCTACATTTTACAAAATTATTAGAACTAATTTATAGCTAAAGGTATTTGCAAATAAAAAAGACAAAAAAAAAAGTAGAGAATAGCCATAAAATATGTAATTAAACGCAAAATATGATTGCATAGCCACCAGCTTAGACATTATATGCATTGCACTTGTTTCTTACTTTGTCTTTTTTAGAGTTAAACAAATATAAAAATGCTACAAGTTTTTTGTTCTATTTAATAATAATGAAATAATAATTAAAAATTACCTTAGAAAAGCTGCGTTCAGCAGATGCGGATGATGCAGGTATGATGCACAACGCTTTATATGCCAAGTACAAATTTGGAAAGGCTGCTATTAAGTTGTGACTTGATAATAAACCCAAAATGTCTAAGCTAGACATTTTTGTTGTACTGACTTCTTCAATTTCAGAATCATCACTTATTTATGAACTAAAATCTGGTTGATCAGTCCTGTCATTATTTTTGTCATTGTATATACTTGTTGTTGTTGAATAATTGTCATTAAAAAGATCATTTAAGCTGTTGCTAAATGTTAAATATTCAGATTGTAATTTATTAGTATCAATGTCTATCCAATTCGATAATTGTTCAAACGCGCTACTGGGCAATTCACTTTTAGTTTTAATGGATAACATACGTTCCGGAGTAAGCAGGCTTAAATCTTTAAGAATTTCTTGAGAATCATTAAATCTTGTGTCAATTGATGTAATAATAGCATCTAAAACTTTAAAACAAACGTCACAGCGAAATAAATCAGTAGGAGATTGTAGCACTTCATCTCTGGATAGTTCACCAGGCATTATTTTCTTCTTTCTTGCTCTTACCATTTTGAAGTCACATTGGGAAAGACTGTTTTTAGTAGCAAATTCTTTAGCAGTATTAATTATTTCAGTACATCCTTCATCAGTACGCAAAATTTTCAATCTATTCTTAGCAATATTCACCATTTTGATAGCTTGCATGAAATCAATAGATTTTGATTGCAAATAGTTTGAAACTTCAGTGGAAACCGAAAATATTCTTCTCATCAGAACCAAAACTAAGATAAATTGGAATGATGTTATAACCGAAATGAAGTTTTTGGCTGTTGAAGTTGTATAACGATCTGAATCATTTGCTTTTGAAATATTTTCCAATGCTTTCAGCAGAGCAGAGTACTTTTCTTGAATGACAACCAAAGCTCGATCATGGGATGTCCATCTAGTAATGGAAAAACGTTTGATGCGACGCTTTTGTTCTCTCGGATTTAATATTTCTTGAGATTCTACAAAGGCAGCCGTCCGTTTTCTAGCTCTCATAAATTCAATTAAAGCGCCAACATTACCGAAAAAAGTTTTGGTATTAATGCAGCAATCACAAGTATCAACTATAACTAAATTTAGTTTGTGGGCAAAACACCAAGTAAACATTGCTTTTGGATTCTCCGCTTGTATACGTGTTTTCAATCCACTGTATTTGCCTTGCATAGAGGCAGCACCATCATATGTTTGAGCAATCATCTGTGTTTTCCAGTTGATATTGTATTTGTCTGTAATGCTACAAAACACTTTAAACATACCTAGACCAGTAGAATCAGAAGCAGTTTCTAGTGCTACCAAACGCTCTTGAGGTTTTCCTTCATCTATGTATCTTAAAATGACAGTAAATTGTTCTTGATTAGAAACATCTGTAGTTGTGTCAATTATTACAGCAAATTGCCCTGACTTATTCACTTGTTTTAAAATATCCTTTCGAACCATATCCGCCAATATACAAAGAAGTTTATTTTGANTATCCGCCTGTATCATATTATATTTTTCACGATAAATCATTATTATTATTATTATTATTATTATTATAATTATGTATCAAACCAATTGAAATTTGTTGGTTGTATATTTTTATGAAACTTGGTATCACCTATATTATATTGGCTACATCTGTTTCTTGTAACGAGTGGCAATAGAAAATTACACATTTGTTTTACACCACACAGCTACTGCAGACGTGCCAAATAAATATCTGTAAAACCATCTTTTTAAAATTATTTTTTTTTTCGAATAACCCCAAACAGTATAATAATATAATAATGGGTACTCTATTTTTAGTGCACGAAAAAAAATTGGATGAAATTCGACTTCGAACTCAGTAACCGTGAAACGAATAATTCGATTTTAAATTCATACTGCAAACAAGAAAATGATAATAAAATTGAGTGCAGTATAATAGTAGCATGAGTCCAACTAAGTTACAATTTAATTGGCACTACGAAGCATCTTATGTCAGTGGCATAACTTGAGCCTTATTTTTGTCTGTGGAGGAGGAGGGGGCAATGAGAAAATACTTTTCACGTATTGTATCTAAATGTGTATGGTTGATGAAGTGGAGTCCATTTTAATTTGTACTTCTCAAATAATTCACCGCAATAATAAATATATATATATACCTACAAGTAAACAATAAGAAGCCTTTCTTAAAGTCTTGTAGAATTGCAAAATTGGTGAAAACATAATAATATCAAGTTAGTAATAATTGCATTATAATATATTGTGTATTACTCAAGTTTATCTATACTCAAGGGTGGACATTAGTTAGTTAAAAATAAAATTATTTTTTTGGATTTCAAGCATAATATGACGTCAGTTAACTCCAAAATTAACTTAATGACCTTCCTAGTTAAATTAGTTTCCATTGTAAGAATTTTGTTTTAATTTCAATTAATTTGAAAAAAAATTATTACTCTTTAAATTAAAACATATTTCTGAAAATCTAAAACTCTGGTTAAAACTACAAACTAATAATTTGTGTATTTATTCACACGGCATCTTTGCCTTCAAGTAAATCGCCATAGGTCAGCTACCTCCTTGCCCCCCGTCCCCCCTCCCAGAAAAAAAATCTGTTGAACGTACAATGCGGTGCTGGGACGTAAGACTGAACTATATACGTTTGACGTGGCACAGCCCAAAGACTTTAAACTATCAATTAATATTACATAGCAGTCAAGTTATCATTTAATTTTATGAAGCCACTGCCCACTAGTGCCCCGCATCGCGGATTGAATTGTTTGAACTCACCGAATCGATCTATAACGAGTGTAATAATATTGCGAACTACCTTATGCGAAACTGGTCTTTGAACTAGCCGTATCATATTAATATCATCATACGGTCATATTGCACAATATATCGTCGCCAATATTATTGAATATGTACTCGGTCTGAGTGGACCCACGTGGGGCATTTAAGAGCCGCGTTCGGGTCTAGGCGCAGTGCCGTGTACCCACCCGAGCTGAGCCGCGTGGGTTACGACGGGATTATGTGAACACCGCTCGCGACACGCAACGGATAAAAATCCTCTCACCGGGGAAATCTCGTAGACAAACAACGTGTAAATAAAACAATAGGGTTTTACCTAATAAAGTAAATTGAAAACGATTCGTTATTTGTTTTGACGTCGTACACAACAGCGTTGTAGTTGTATAGTTGCGGTATACCCGCCTATTCTAAATAAAAATTCGACCGAGTAGTCTCCGAATTATTAAAATGTATATACTGACCCATGATATTCTTTAAAAACGGTCTTACAGGAATATGAAAATATATCTATAGATGTAATATCGAATTTGATACACTCAGGCAATTATTATCACAAAATATACGATTTCGATATAACTTTCATTTCGAAATCATCAGTGACGCCCTGTGTTCCAAACCTTTTACCATGGATTCGTTTACTATAATTAATTAATAATTATAGAACACAATGTTTAATAACTCGAACAGAATTAAGTCTAATTTTGATTTAGATTGGTACATCAACATTTCCAAAAGAGTCATAATCTCAATAATTTACAGGGAAAAAAGGTGATAGGTACTTATTAGAAATAAATAAGTTATTGGTGTTTCATGAATGGCGAAAAAATCATAATTCAAATTCATTATGAAAAGAAAGAATGAAGATGATTATGATTGGTGAATCACACTGTATATAATATCATGTAAATTAGGTAAGTCGGGAGACGGTTTTTCATAAAACTGAAAATGTGTGGCGTACATTTTTTTTAAACCCAAATTATTGTTTCGTGCTTGTAACTTATAATATGTATAGTGTATACCTATAGATAGTTACAACTTATGAGTTTTAGTGGCAAAAAAACGGACTTTCCGTATGCTTAGTAGATTAATTTTTTACTCATGCTCGCTATTATAACAAAAAAATGTATTGAAAAATCTGATAAAATATTTGTTATTTTTATAATAATAATTGACAGGTGCTTAATTTTTAATTAAAATGTAAAAATTGTATTTTATAAAACGTCCGGAGTAATGCATAATTTAATATCTATGTGAATTATTCGACAACGCTGATTTGAAATAATTTTCGCGCGCTGTTCATCACAAAATAAAACCACATATAATTGCATCAACTATTTTACGTATTTTAATTATTGTTTTAGTCGTGCAATAGTCGTTGATCTGTCGTATCTTGTGAAATAAAAAAAAAACTGAAAAACTAGTGATTAGAAACCGAAAATACTGGTTACACGAGGTTAAAAATGAAAAGGTATCTTTAATCTTATTTTTAAGGTACACACTATAAAATAATATTTATCTTGGTATTTTCAAGTTGATGAAATATACATCCATATTCAGAACTCGTATCTTATAAACCAAAAAATAGAGGGGTTTGGATTATTTTTTTGAAAAATGCTTAGATACAAACGTAGACTTTCAGTTTAATGGTACCTAATTAAGTTATTTAATTGAAAACATTAAAGTTTGATAAATATATTATTATAATCGAGTTGTTACGAGTTTATGAGTTTGCTCACGACTTAATGAGATACATTTTACTTATGCGTTTGTATAATTTTGAAAAATTCAGCCTCGAGTGTTTGTAAACATCGGATTAGGTGTATTGAAAATAAATCAAAAATAGTATCGTGTGTATTAATTAGATTAACAATGAAAAATAACTTTAATTGATAACGAAATGAAATAAAAAACAAGCAATGAACCGACATCACAGTCAGCTCAAATAGTTATTGTCGAAAACCACAAATGACACATTTCACTTATGCTATTTGGGACCGGTAGCAATGTATACATGTGAGACATAGTCCACTGCACAGGTGAAGGAAAAGCATTATTTTCTCCAGAAAGAAAAGTTCATCAGAAATTATATAAGCCTGTGTGAACTCAATACTAGGGGGAGTATAAGCAGAGACGAAAAAATGCATAACTAAAAATGTTATACAAAAGTTTAAAATAAATTAGAATGTGTTCCTTAAGGTTAAATGATTTGAATGCTCAGACTATGATCGGTGACCTGATTTAAGGCTATACAAAACGTTCTATACTTGAAAACCCAACAAAAAAACCCACCCAGGTTAAGTCCTCATCGCAGTCATGGAATGATATTTGAAAGATATTTCAGGTGGCTCAATAGAAATGGAAACTGCAAGAAATAGAGGTGAAAGGAAAATCTTGGTGGAAGCGTATAAAATGCATCGATGACCTGTATAATAGCACTAGTAATAATAATAAAAATAATAATAATAATAAAAACTGGAAAAAAAGAAAACTGAAATTGTTGTAATTTACTGTTTCAGCATTGACATAAACTGTAATATATGGATTTTTTTTTATAAATATGATTTCTCTACGAGTACTTACAATAAGTTATGGAGGTGTTTTTTTTATATGTTTCTCTGTTCCATAGAAGATCTTCGTTTAATTGTTTTACAGTTAAATCGAAACAGCTTGGCACTTATCTTACGTTTATGTGATAATTAATTTGTAAAATGTCCTGTTTGTTTTTAAATAAGTTATTAAAATATATAAGTATTTACGGAATCTTAGATTGAAATGGTGTAAATTAAAAAAAAAAAATGTTTTTAAAATTGAATATAATTAACTAAGGAGAAATAAAATGAGTTTATTAATGTACATTCTGTTCATATTTAACTTATAATAATTTATTCTAAAATAAAGTTCCAACGAAACACAGTATATTATATCATTAAACAAAATATATTGGATATAATATTGCGGTTATAGTTTTAACCGAATAAAACGCTTTGTATTAAATAAACAATTTATTTACTTTTGATTTTGATTTTGTAAACATGTTTTTCAATTTTCAATTGGTTTTAATCGCCAAATATTTTATATTGTATTTGTTTATAATTATGTAACGTTATCAAATTTATACTAAAAAATAAAATATAAATAAAACAATGGTTAGTGCTTTATTTAAACGATTTATCATCAAGAGTAAACACATTTTATAATCTATAAATAATAATATACATGTAATCAATGGACATATAATAATAATTATAATACAAACCACGATATGAAATACTAAAATATTTATATTTATTTTACGCTTTAGTCAATAATATTGAAATATGCTTTCACATGAACAAATTAAATGCAATTGTATTAATAACATACATTTTCATGCTGAAAATTTAATAAAACAAATAATAATATAAAGTTGTGTAGGTGGTATTCAGATGCTATTATACTATTCCATTTTTAATCATATTATAAAGCTATAAAAACATGGTTCAAATATTTGTGTTTCGTGGAAAAAAAACAACAATAGAGCAATTAATTAATTCCTATATCATTTGAAATGTTTACCACTAGTAGACAATAGGCTCTATACAGTTTAAAATATCTCAACTGGCCAGTATAATTATTACTGGGTACGCACGCATTTGTTTTTGATAAATTTAAAATTTAATTTCCCATATTAACGTAATCATAACTACATATTATAATATCTGAGCATCAATCGTATAAACATAAATTTGCTATTGTTTCCGAAGGTTATCGGTGTATTAACTCATATTCACTCAGATTTTAAATGTAAACGGGCGTTTATTGGTTCACTGGTTTCGAAATTATATCACTATTTACCGTTTTTTTTAAACATAAAACTCGAATACACCAATAGGTGAATAAAGCAATATTGCATGACGAATTCTCCACACAAATATTTTCTTTTTCTTGAATAATACAAATTATCAGATGTTAGACGGCGTTCCGCATAGGCAATATAGGTGTTCAACTGTGTAGAATAATATTTTAAAACCTCTCAAATATGAGATTGATGTATGAATCAATCATAATATTTTATGTACAATTTTTTTGTTTTCGTTAGTTTACATTTCATAATTTGGAGAGTTTTCAAATCAATTGGTATTAAATTACTTAATTAATAGCTAAACTGTAATCCGCTAGCTAAATAAAAAATAAAAATGATTTATTATAGCTCATAATATTCTCTAATTCCATTACGGAACGTTTTAAAATGATTGTGAATATTATGTCACGGAATAATGTTTGATATTATGTAACGGCCTAAACTAAGCTGATAGTATAGTAAGGAGTAAGTTAAAACGTTTAGTTTTTTTAAGAAAAGGAAAAATACAATTATATCACAAATAATTTAAAACAATAATATGACTTATAATATTATTATAACCACGTTTTATTTTCATTTTTCAGACTTGCCTAAAGATGGTCCGTACATCACTGGAGATAAATCAACTTACCAGTTTGGTGACACGATAAATTTGAACTGTACATCAGCCAAGTCTTACCCAGCATCCAGTCTGCATTGGTACATTAATAACATTTCGGTAAGTAAATTACGATCAAAAATTCTTAACGGTATTCGATTTTTTTTAAAATTCAAAACAAAATGCAATTTTAAAGATAAAAACTCTTCAGTAGGTCAATGGCTTATTATTATCATAATATTATGTCCGGTAAAACATGTTAACCGTATTGTTAAGAAATCGAAATATTTGATATGTTTAGACTAGAATGACTTAAGTCTGATAAATGAAGAAAAAAGCCGTATTTTCTATTATTTTAAATTTTAATTGAAAATTAAACCAAAAGTTAGACCTTTTGACTCGTAACTCGTGTTCAAATAATAGTAATATAAAAAATAAAATGTAAATAAATGGTTTCCTGCGAGTTTCGTCGTTTTCGATAACTGCAGCTCGGTAGATGCGTGTTTCTGTAAAGGTCTCTGGACACCGTACGACCCTTTATGCGGTCATAATATTCCCGATATGAAATGGTCTGTTCAAAGACAGGTTATAATAATATAATGTTTTACAGTCATAAACCACGTCTACTACCGTCCCTCCTCGGAGCTCCGGCAAGTACACGACTGTATACTGATACCATCTATATTTATAATATTATAATATATACATTGTGTATGTGTGTGTGTGTGTGTGAGTGTGCCAGCAAAGTATACCGGGACGAAATTACATATTTCACCGACTATTAGAAACTCCTCCGAATCCTTTTTTTTTGTGTAGTAACAACAATTTTTTTCAATTTAAAATTTCACCGTTTCTATACACTATTTTTCGATCGACAGTGTAGATGAAAACGCAATAAAAATTATATTTGTATTAAGTATTATAATGATGTTACGATACAATTTTATTTTGCAACTTATAATTACTACACCCGTGTACGTACAATAATTTAAATCAAACAATATTCCTTTGACATCGACCATAGTCCACACCATATAGGAAATCGAATACAAAATATCTGCTAAAATAACACTTCAAAAATAACCGTTGTAAGAAGTGTAAGTTTGTTAAATTTATTTTTGTCGATTTATTTTTCGTTTAAGAATTGTATACATCAAATAATATACCTATCATATATTTTGATATAAATGTGTTGCCTCGTAACATATTTTGCAAAAAACATAAGACACATATTGTTTTTCTTACTCAATAACAACGCGTTCTGTCTTTCATATTTATTCGGTATAACAATATACGTACAGATAAACGATATATTTGTTATACTTCAAAAACCCAAGTCACATGGATATGCGTATTATATAAATATCAGATACATATAAGCTGAATTGTATGTAGATAAAAAGAAAGCTTTATTTTAACATAGTACTTCTATATCTAATATTGCACATTAATATTTATTTTATCTTTTCAACCTTTCGTACACGACGAGGATTTGCGAAAGATAACCAAACTTTATAGATAAAACATTAATAAAGTACTAAATTTAAAACAAAAATGAGTCATGTGGAACCTATATTTTTTTTCATCGCTATTATAATTGAAATAATATGAATTACTTTAATTTGAATATAAACGTGATGGATTACTGGCAATTAGACTCTATATAATACGTAACGAATTCAAATCGTATAAATTTAAAAACAAACCAATTACGCTTTCCACACAAATGTAGGAATTCCATACTTTAGACAGTAAATTAGATATATTAAACATGGGTTTAATGACACTAAATCGCATAAATTATTTATAGCGGATACGCATTCTACGTCTGACGTGAGAAAATACACAAAATAAACAAAATTACTCTAAGAAACGGATATTTAAAGTATTGCAATTAACCATTAAAATGTCGGATTAGAACTACGAAATGTTAAACTTGTTTAAAAACGTTCCATTTTAAGTGTTTAAGTTTTTTTTTCCTGTTAAATTCATAATCTTTGATTACGGTCCTAAAAAATGTATACACAATAATAATAACTATTAACATAATGTGCAAACTTTCATTTGGTTTGTTACTTAATAAAAATAAAATTTGAAAAGTTGTTGACAGTAAATAAATATTTAATTTAGTTTGTACAACGTAATGTGAATAATTTTTTCAAGCTTGAATAAAATTAAGTACCTTGTAATTGCATTTATTATAATATTATTTTAGTTACGAAATGAATGAAGTAGTAGGTAGTTGCTGCATTTCGCTATCTAATATTCAACGCGCCTTTCGTCATTAATATTTGAAATATGAGTTTTTTCGAGTCAATCGCCAAGAGCTTTGTTGAATATTATCAAATCATGTTTACAAACGTTTAGTACAGTTACCTGCAGTTACCACCTATTATATACCTGCGTTTTATTTTGAAACTATTGCCAAACAGTCGAGGGAACTTACAAACAACCGTGAAACATTCAAATTAATAACTACAACAACCGTATAATAATAATAATAATAATAATAATAATCATAATAATAATAATAATAATATAATAGCTGCCGCTGCATTTCGCTTATCCAATCGTATAGTTACCTATAAAGAATCTATATTTCGGTTGAAACAGGAAACTGCATTGCAACGGAGATTTAAATCTAATCCGACGTCATTCGTCCATGCGCGTTTTAAAATATTGTTGTTTATGGCGTTTAGAAAAAAGACACGTTTTTTCTCTTTTTTTTTTTACGACACAAAGCCGGCCAGATTGAACTTGAGCGTTCAAAAAGTGTGCGAGATAATATATTTACGGGCGCGAAAAATAATAAAATGTTTATTTTTTCTTCGCTCTTTATACCTACTGGAATGGCTATATTTTCGTCGGGGCGGTTTTATTGCCGCCGGAGACGAAAGACGGAGACCTACACGGTCGCCCGCTAATGAAACGCACAACCAGCTCGGCTGTACCCTATATCGGATTTACGCCAAAGATAAATTCTCGCACAACAAAACGACGAAGGCGATGTAGCCGCCGATTCGGATTCGTTTTTCTTTCTCTGGCCGCCTTATCGCTTGTTTAATTCCGTTACCGAGATTCCGCTACTAATATACACTTGCAGCAGGTGTTTAATTAATTGCTGTCCAAATAGTGACTATATTAACACACGAGTGCAACGCGTAATTTCACAAAACTCGATTCGTATAATATATATAAATATGTATAAATATATATCAGTTTGTTTGCTTATATATATGTATAATGACTCGTGGAACGCAAACACAATTAAAAACCATTGTTTATTAGTTGAAATAGATCGTTTTCGAGCTGACGCCAAACAATTTTAGCGGACGCGTAAATAACCCTACGACGGTAGGCAACTTTAAACATACTATTATTGTAGGTAGTTGATCGTTTAAAATTAATTCGAAAATCCATCAACTAAATTTCTATTATATAAGTACCGAGATCAGGGGGGAAATGTTTTGTTTAGTTTTCGTAAAACTCGCCCCACCGAAGCTCTGGAGACCTAACCGGAATATACGTGGTACCTAGGTATCGTACAACAGGACCCTCACGAATCGCCTTTCATCTGACCTTCGAATTGCCTCCCATGAATTTTTTTTTAAAAAAGAAATTGCGTTCCGACTCAAAAATATTATTCACTTCAACACCTCGTGTTTTGGGCAGCGACCTTCATTGTACTGGAATCGCCTCAGATAGCTTTAATTAATTGATTTAGAACCTTACATTATAGTAAATATTAATGAATTAAATAATTACTACCATTTATAATATACACATTGAATATACAATTTTTACAAATATACTGTTTCAAATGTTTAAAAAAATCAATAACCAATACAAAAAATAATATAGATGAAATATTTATCATCTGTTATACAATCAAAAACTTAAGTTTACATAAATATTTTAGTAAGTAGATTGACACAGCAATAATAATTAATAATAATAATAAATAGTGAATAGTCAACACATAAGTACAATAATTTAGATTAAATATAATTCTATTAGACAGTCATTATTTTTCATCTCACAGTGGAATAGTTTTGCTGGTGGTTCAGAGAACTGTTCAAAAGATTTTCGTTTTAAAACGTCGCTGAGTATCTATCTGTTGACCTTTTGTTCTCGATCTTTTACTGATAATCGACAAATGAATTGGTCTGAGAAATACTGACTGCCTTAAAATTAACATTTTTAAATACTGCGGAAATCGATATGAATAACGATAGTACAATAGTACATGTACAACTATCGATATATTAATTAATAATCTAGGCGTGCTATAAGAGACAATTCGAGTGATAAAAAGTCACCTAACTAAATTTGGAAGGCGATTCGAGTGTCACCGTACAATATAGTTAATTACTATTTAAACAGAATCTTATGAGCAGCCCTGTACGTGGTCTAACAGTGGACAAAATGTTTTCGAAAGCTGAGTAGATGCTCAAATATAGGTATGGAGTATACTGCTTTAATACCTATAGCGTTTAAACGTGTGTCCTTAGTCCGACCATTCATGAAGCGACAAAGCATTAGCTTTTTGAGTTGAATGAAAATCCATTTCACCACCTTATATAGCCCACGTGTAATCCTCTCGGGTCTAAGACACATGCGAAATGGATGAATTCCGGTCTGTTGGACTTGACAAATATTTCAAAAGCTTACACATTCATATTGACAGAGAACTTGAAAGGCATTAGATTTTCTAGACGGACACTGTAGTACTAGTGGTAGCAATATACTATCTCAGTTAACGTAAAAGTATTTCTTTTCAATATACGTTAATTTTTTTAGCAATGTATATAGTTTTATGAATGTATATAAAAAACACGACAATCTAATTCATGAAAAGAATTACCCGTGTAGAATGATATTACATTGTTTCGTATCTCTGAAGTTATATTTTTTATCACACAACTGCATTATTATAAGTTATGATAAAGCTGTAGATAAATACATAGACAGGCTTAATTTTGTTGTGATTAATCAACTGTTTCGATGGACCAAATGCTTTTACAAAGTTATGCATTTATTATAATACGAGAAACATGAGAAAACTAAGAATTTGTTAGTTGTCGGTATTGTTGGTATTCTAGGAAGATGTCTTGGGTGGCGTGGTGTTTTAGTCTGAGTTTAGAAGTTGTCTACGGATTTAATAATGTAGAGTTCCTTTTCGATTTTATTTGATATATTTTTGAAGTTTTTGTAATTGTTAAAATAATGATAGACTTTTCTATTAGAATTTGTAATTTTTACTTTTACCGGAGAAGCTAGCTTGTACTAAGGCTCGTAATTATTTTCTTGTGTTAAATTATCTTGGCTTTACTTTTGGTAAGAAAATATAAACGTATAGGTGTATTTTGTTGTAAGCAATCAAGACTTGTTATTTTTTATATAATATTGTACATATTTGACTGTACAAATTGTAAATGTTAAATTGTCTTAATAATAAAGAAAAAGGTATTTTTTTAAAACGGTTTTAATGCTCACCAGTCCTTGGTACAGTTATAGAATCCGCATAATTGTGTTATTACCTGCTGTGTATAATATTATTATAGGAATGGCGTGATTGAATCATTTGTCATTAAAACACAAATTCAAATATAATAATTAATCAACCACGTTTGAAAATGTATCCTACACGCTTTGATGACTGGCCAACATTTCAACGATATAATATACATAAATATATTATCATGTATTATAGAGGTATAAAGAAACAAAATAATGTCACACCCCTCGTTACGCGGTGTATTGTTAACGTTTTTTTTCTCTATAATTCATAATAAAATACCTAGGCACACATGTCATTATGCCTTTAATGTATATATTATTATTTGGCATTCTATACGGTCATGCATGAACCTTACATTGGTCAACTGTAAATATGGGTTATATTATTATAGTGTGTAGTACAATGATTGTATATATTATATATTATTCGATGAAAAGTGAAATTAAAACGATATATTAATTTTTAATTTTTTGCAGTTTGAACCTCATTTATACTTAATGTATAGGAACGTAGTAATGTTTATGAATGACAATCAATGATTTTTTTAATGTATTCGAATACACCAAAAGAGGGAAACCACAGAAAAAAATCATCGAAAATAAACGCGGGTGCACAATGATTACACATGATTACAAATCAGAGTAAAAAATTGTTACTTAAAAGTTAAATTCGTCGAAAATCGATTAAAATAAAATGATTTTGCGTAATAGGTGCGTACTGCGATTATTAATGTGACGGTGCGCGTACAATGATTTATTTACCATTGATGGCTTCCGTTTAGTACAGCATTATATATTTTTTACACCGACTAAATTGCTGCATAGAACGGCTTTGAGCCGCCGGTAAAAAATGTAAACAAATAAATAACTCTAGAATTTCTTAACGAGGTTGTCTTTTGCATAATGGCGTTTAAAATATGATGTGCCTGTGAAAAGGATTATTACACGCAAGCTTCATGCACGCATTTCGGTCACGGTGTGGTTTTTTTTGTCATATAAGGGGGAGGGGGGGTACCCCGTGCCGAAATCCGGTGTACGAACCGTAATTATACAGTCGAGCAAGGGTTGAAGTGAATTTGAATTTTCATCACTATAATATTATATATTTTAAGAATAACTTATAATTTCCACTAGAAGGTTTACCCGCAAAATCGGATCTATGCTAAAAACCTAACGATCATTTACCATGATTTTATAAGACTTAAAGTTCGCGGCGCTCATATTCCGGTTAGACTAAAACATATTATCATTTTCACGATATGTTTTTGGACTCTTATTATTACCTGCATAATTTATCGTTTATATTGAAATGCATTGCACCCAACATTTTCTCCTCGGCAGGCCACTGTGGTAAACAATTATCTTCGAACCAAGAATCTCGTTTCCCAAAAATAAAAGTACAAAATAAATAATCTCAAGCTTAATCTAAGAATATAATTTTGTTATATAATTATTATTATATTTTTTTTATTATTTTATTACATACATAGTTTTATTCTTATCTGTTATCGACTACTGAAAAGATTAAAAATTGAGGTCATTTAATAATTTTATTTATTTTTTGAATGTTGGGCCACGGATTGGCCTCCGCTGTAATTAATTTACAAAAACTATTAAAAAATCTGTTTATTTTTTTTTTTTACATAATTGAAGAACACTCGTAATGAACCGAAAAAATGTATAACCTTTGAAGTCCAAACAAGATTCTGTTAAATTATTCAGTTTCTTTATTTGACGCATCGGTTTATTTATTTTAAGTTCAGTGATCTAGATATTTGGATACGATTTTTAAGGCGTTCATTATAATATATGCATTATACATATACTATCATTTATCAGAATATCAACAAAATATTACCATAAAATACATAATCATGAATCATATATTATAATACAAATCACTTGTCACCAATGATTTATTTTATAAATATATTTTGAAACATCAAACAGTTTATTCTCTGGTCGAAACGTAAAAAAAAAACCGATGAATTTGTAATTCAAAAATGAATTCGATAATAATGATCTGGTTTGACAAATGTATCTTACAATGTTATTATTATACAATTATAATTAATATTTTATTAATTATAATTTTATAAAGACGGCCGTGGTGTATTTGGTAGGAACCTGCAGTATATATTTCACAAAATTCATGAAAAAAGTATCAATGTCACAAAATATAACTTAAAACATATTTTCAAAGAGCCAATATTTGATGAGCAACTGATATTTGCTTAAATGCTTTGTCGATAACTCCCATTAAAAAAAAAAAAAACGACAAATATATTCTTCTCAATCGTCACTTTTTTGAAATTTCTATTGTGATTTTTGTTGTATGACAAATTATGATTCAGGAAGAAAATTGTATTTCAACGTATAAAACGTTATTTTTACATGATGGTTATAGCCAGTGGAGTATTCACTTCTATCGCATGGGGCCCAGCCATAAGAATTTAAAGCTAAACATTTGTTTTTATTTCTATTTTTATTTGGTACCGATTACAACTAGACTGTTCTGCATGATTGCAGATAGTTTTTTTGTCAATAAAAATAACGACAGTCGTGACAGTTTCACACCTACAATTTATTAAGACTTCAAATATTAACGAAGGCGTTCAATAAATATGATTCTTTGTGGAGAGGGAGGGGAGCATGTACACGAGTATCGACCGTGCATATTATTCGATGATGGATTAGACTACTGATAGTTAGTACAAATTATTCAAAATATCCAATTATTATGTACCTAAGTATATAGTTATTTAAGTTATGCAATTGTTGAGCTTAAAATAATAAGCATAATGTACAGTTTAATAGGATTTCTTCTTCTTCCATTTGGCTTAATTTACTTTCCAAGGGTTTTTGTCGCCATCACAACTTCACGACGCTCATCCATATCATGAATTATTTTTTTCCAATCGTTCACTTCTATCAAATCTTGATTGACCATATCCATCAACCAGATAAGACTAATAGTAGGATTATTGTACCTATAATAACCTATCAAATAGAATATATTATGTACAACGAAATGCGGTGAGCTTTCATTTAAAAACACGTCCGAACTCCGTCTCCATTTCGTCGACACGCCCAATATAACCTTCAGTCAGTTATTATGTAATTTCAATTGGCCTAAGAGGTTTATTGACATCGAGAGCTATATAAATATATACATGCAATCGGAAAACTGAACATTTTTCATTTTGATGGTACTCAATTTTACTGTATTTCATTAGTTTATCTTTTTTAATGTACAGACTAAAGTATAAAATAAGTGTAAATTCATAGCTTGAATATCAACTCTTTGTCTTATTTTTATATTGTTTACTATGATGGTACATAAAAAATATTTATAGATATAATTCATATTTATATTTGGATAATCGTATTGTTTTATTTCGACGTTTTCCAACTATTAGTTAATTAAACTATAAATATGAAATCCAGATCATGCACAATTTATATTATTTAACATTGTTATAATTTAATAATAATACAATGTATAATGAAATTCCGAATACTTTTTATAGTGCATGAATTTTATCAAACAGTAACATTGTAGAAAAACTCAGTTACTTATTATCATTATTTATTTTATCCTAGGAGGTGCACTTAAGAGAAATAAATTTACTTGTAATTTAGTCATGACAAACCAATTTTTTTAAACAGACCTTATTTTTTAAATTTATTACGTAATGGTTTTAAATTTTTACTATCGAAACAATAATTAAACGCCAGTCATATAATTTAAAGATACAAATATATATCATTAATTATTATTGTCTTTTTTTAAAATAAAAACCAATTAGTTTTTTTGTTATTTTGAAAAACATACAACAAAAATATACAATTCGTCCGAGAGATAACTAACTTTTTACATAATAAACAAAGCTTTTTATGAAATATATTTTACTTGGAGGTGAAAATAATGATTTTTGCACGTATACGCACGTGCAGTATTGTGTATATACACATATGTGTCGTGTTATAAATATATATTTATTATTTTTTTTCTGCACTTTTTAGACCCAGTAAGTTTATATAATATGTGTGTGCGTGTGTTTCACAGGCGAGAGAAGAATCTTTGAAGAGGTACCCAGCGCAAAAACACCCTCGAGGGCTCGTGACGACAACTTTGGGGTTGCATTTACCTCTGGATGCGGGGACCGTGCTGAACGGGGCAGTGAGTGTCAGGTGTGTGGCTGTACTATCACCCGTATTGTGGACTAGTGACAACGAGAAAGTGCTGCCCAGACAAGATAAAAGAGAAGCACTCCTGCTCGGTAATAAATTACCCACGCTTATTTATACATAGATCTCGAATATAAAAAAAATATATATATAACTATGCTAATAGTTGTTATTACATTTGAAAATCGGTTTGGAATAATAATTTTTAAGAGTAAAAATGATCTATTGCTGATTAAGAGAATTTTTTTCGTTCTTTCCTTCACTGGTTTACATATTTTTGACCCATACTTCAACTATAATAACCGTACAGTAAAGTTACAATGTCGTCGTCCCAAGTCATGACTCCCACATTGAATGATTTATTGTAAAATTCACAATACATCCATTACCGTTTGAATGTCATAACATCTTAAATTGTGTTTTTTCACATCACTGTGATACTGTAGACCTCATTGTCTAACGTTCGGTATTATTCTTATTTTAGTTACAGGATCTTCCAGCAAGTGCAATTCCAACAGAGTCGTCGTGTTCCTATTTTTATTACTCATACATGTGTTTTTTTAAAACAAATTATCAATAAATAAATAAAAAATATCATATCAAAAATAATTTTATTCTAATATTTTAATTTTTTGAAAAATGTATTTTATTTGTAAATTGGATTGTAATAGATATAGTTTATCCCTATATAAATAAACATGTACTACTTGTGTTAAATATATCATCATGTGTTTTAAATTGTTTAATACCTAATTCACTTTGGTTCGTTTCTCACGTTTCATAATGTTAGTGGTAAGAAATAAAACATTATAAATAAATTTATATCTTTTAGAGAAACAATACCTAGAAGGCACGTCGGTAGGAATTTCCTAAGGGGATGTTATCAAAATATCAACTTCAATGTACAAAATAAAAATGTCATATTTTATATTTAATAATATTACCAATAGTTATCGATATCTACTAATATTTATATATTGAAAATTAATTTATATTAAATAAGAACTGTATTTTAATACAATATGTTTTTCTCAATTGTATTAGTTATACCTGTAATAAATAAGTATAGTCGATTTAGGGGTGGCATTACTTTACATATGACGCATCTCTCGCATACTGATCACTTGTGTTAAGAAATATTACCTTAGGTATCTTCAATTCTGGGCGCAGTTCACAGAAACAACATATACAAAATTCATTGCGGCGTGCCATAACTAATAGGTACGGTTTTAAAAAAAAAATTTCAATAACAAATTGCGATTTGGAGATGTAATAAAACAAACAAGTGACTGTTTTTATTTACCGATTTGAAACCTGGCGATATTTAGGTATCACGATTATTTTTAACGTTCCGAATAATTATTTTATTTTTATTTACATTGGATTGATGGTTATCAATGACAAACATTGATATTGTTTCCATTAATTTAATGACATACAGCACATCAATCAGTAATCACACATCAATATAATTTTGTTTTGTGCATATATTTACTTAATTGTGTTTTATATTATGTGAACTTCCTTTCTACATGGGTACTATGGGTTACCAAATATCAAATTATTAAAGTAAAGAGGTAATGTAAAGATTTAAATGAGTTTCAAAATATTTGAATATTGCCAATACGAATCAATTCCTTAAGTTTGTTACTGTTTTAGTTTATCATAGTTATTAATATTTAATATACTTATAATATTTATTATACTATGTATAATAACACAATGTAATCGTATCACGAAATCAGTTATTTCGTGTATTTATGTAAAATTAAGGAATTTTTGTAATACAATAAATATAATGACTATCATCTTGCATGACATATTACTTATTCGTAGTAATTATTATTGACCATCTATAAAATGCAATAAAGCATTACCTACAATGTATTGGAAAATATGTTGACACCACTCAGTAGCAAATATAATGCGTATTGAATCAAATAATGAAAAATGGGCTGCAGAGTTACCTATAACTATTTCAAATAATTAACCAAAATATATTATATCTATATGGTTCCATGAGCGTGTGATGCTTGGGCGTATTGTGGTGACATTACGACTTCAGTAAGCTTTTTACCGATGATTTAAACTGAGGGATATTACTTATTATTAGCAACTGATATCATTGTATTATAATATGTTATTTTAATCCAATTACTGTGTTAAATTATATATAGTAAAATGTGTTGACGTGGAGTGCGATGAGTCCAGTGGTTGATAATGACTGTCGTTGTTCGATTAAAATTGGTGTTGTCTGCCGAACCGAGAGGTGAGAATAAAACACAGGCACAAATAACGTACGAAATTAAACCTAAAATGTATATTATTAGAATTTTATTACAACAAAATATTAATATTAGTAGTGACACTCTGTCACTGGAAATTATGGACAGTGGTCATCGCCACGGAATTGGTTATACGTAGAGCATAAAGTCTTAGGTTAGGTTATACGTATGCAGCCAGCTCTTCGATCCCTCGTCACACCTCTCCCATGACCGGGTAAGATAGGAGAGTCGAACTAGTCGCACTTTTAGTCCTGAAGCGTGGCGCCTGGCGATCGTTGGCTGTACGCTATAGTGATTGTACCTACTTTGTGCTTGCTTTTTCCATGGACAGCGTCTGTGCAAACATAATAAAAAAACATATATGCTCATAACTCGTAGGTGCGTTTAATCTATAAATATTAATTATTATAAGATCCTCATACCAACAATTATAATTGCATTTTCTTAAGAATTATTACCATATGTATACAATGTTATATACAATATACTTCATGTTTGTTAATTGGTTTGATATTTCTTATTCAGCATTTCTATTTAAGCCACAATTATTTATATTTAAATTTGGTACTCTTATGTTTGCTATTCCTTACTTATATTTTACAATGTACAATAAGATAAACGTAGAATATTTATTATAAATTATTCAAGGTATCTCACTTTTTTTTTAACAGCTGTAAAAATAACAAGCCAAGATTCTCACAACAATAGTTTTAAAAAGAAGTAATATAATACGTAAGTACTCAACAAATTGTATCTTCAACTGTTGAATCTTAAACATGAGATATCCGGTTTCCGGGAATGCCAAGGACGCATCCAGAGCAATTTTCAATGGCACTCAAATGTATTTTTATTTGCATATTAGTTTTCATTTCTAGAAATATCCGAATATACTGAGCTGAGAAATGAGATTGATGAACCAAAAAAAAAAGAAAAGTTAAATAGAAACATTATTTGTTCGAATGAATCAAGTTCGTATTTCATTATACAGTAGAAAATAAAGCTTTAATGATTCGTCAATATTACCGTTGAAATAAATCTTTGTAAAAAGCATGGTTATGTCCTGAGTCATTGTCAAGGAGTATAATATAACCCATATAATACCATCATGTTACGTCTAAAAAATAGGGCTACGAATAAAGTTTAAGACAGAAAAAATAGATAATAATTAAGTGGCAAGAAGTATCATCGATGTTAGAGATCGTATTTTACTGTCGTGATAAGTTTGTATACTATGACATTTAATAATATATTATACATAAGATAATGTAGTGTACACATATTATTTTAGCGGTATGTATACTAAACAAAGTTTCTAATATCAATAGTAGATACATTCACATTTCACATCTACGACGAAAGATATTTCATGCTGTCAACTATAACTAGTCTTGTAAAATACTAAATTACCCACCCTCTTTTAAGAGTAGGTACCTATTTAATTATGTACATCTATACATACACTCCTATATATTCAGTTAAAACAATGACAAGTACACCGATTCATGCTCACTGAAAAGAAATAATAAGAAATAAAGTAATAAGAGCTCCGGTGACTGGGCATAAAATCTAAGTAACCATATTGTTGTATAGTGTAAACAAAATTAAAAATGATTGATGTACCTAACTACTTATAGTTATGTTTTTTTATTTAGAGGGGGGGCTGGTATGCGTCGGTGGCTTGCATCGATCACATGTAATATGTGATTTGTTTTTGGTCAAAATTAGTTCAACCTATAATATATATTTATTCTGAGTATAAAAATAAATTACTAATAGTAATATAAATATATGATACAATATCTGGGGCTTGGTGTGGCTCGATGGTTGACCTCACAGGCACTAACGTGTTCCGAGGTCAAGCATCAGTTGACTTCAATAGTTGCCAGATGGGTGACCACTCAGGTTTTTAGAGACAAATCTTTACACTACATACACGTGTTCCCTAACCAACCGTAATCCACCGATAAAATGCTATAACCACAGTTTCCGATGATTAAAATCAATTAAATAAAAATTAGAAAATATAAATAAATAATATCAAATGTTTTTAAAGTGTTATTTAAAGATAACCTGTTGTCAAGTGGTTTTGCATGGGAAATGCATGGAGCAGTCAAACGTTTCTTCAAATCAGAATAAAAAAAAAACAAAGAACTTAGAATATTAAAATATTTAGTATCGAATTTGTTAGTCAAATAATTTTAAACGTTTAAAAGCCATTCATATATTTGGATAAGAAACGTGAGTTGGGTTCTAAAAAAAATAATTCTTCCTCGGGAAATTAAATATTTTCTTTGTTTTTATTTAAGTTTTCATTAAAAAGGTAAACACATTATTTCCAACATGTATTTCAATACTTATATAGAATGATTTGCCAAGAACGAATTTGAAATGTAAATTTATGTTTTTGTTTCAGCTGGGTCAATCTATAAATGATTTATATTTATGTTAGAAATAAGCTAAAACTTAAGGTTATTTTATATAATCTAGAACTCACTCAAGTTCACCGTAGACGTGAACATATATGTATAATTCATTTGTCTATATAACTACGTACAGTTATTTCAACTAAAAACAATATTCAAAAAAATGTGTTAGGTTTAAATAAAAAAATAATGAAATAAGACAGACATACAATTATTATGAATTTATATATTCAAGAAAGGTGAGAATTTGTAAATAATGAGAAATCTAGGAAAAAAGCTGTTGCTTTAATAATATAACATTACGACTTTAAGTTTCATATATTCGTATTAAATCTGATATACATCGATCAGAAGTTAAAGGAGCTGGTACTTGCATATGTTTAAATTAATTTAGTATTTATTAATAGCAGTTTATAATCGGTATACGTTTTGAATAACGGATTACAAACAGTTTTTAGAGCGTAAGTTATATAAATAAAAATAAATATTCATATATATATATTTTATATACCAGTGTACGTATATTAAAATAATTGTTTCCGTTTATGAATAATGTAAAATTAAAATATCAAGTTTTAATGATTATAATTTACCTAATGGCATTTGAAGTCTTAAACTTTTTCCCACTACATTATTTTTGTTTAACCGAGTAATTCATTAGTGAAAAGGGGGCATAAAACGTATTATGATTCAAAATCCTTGAGTATTTTTCTTTTTGTACAAAACTTAATGCAAAATAGTTTAAGATTACAGAACTTTTGAATCAGATGGATTTGTTCACCACTTTATAATTTAATTTACTTTTTTTGCAAATATTAATAATTCTGATACCTATGTAATCGTAATACAGTATTGTGGTGAATATTTCTCTAAATAAATATGTTTCATGTATAAAAATAAAATTGAATAATAAATTAACAGAACTGAACAATTTACCAATATAAAATATAATATGTGACATAAAATGGTATGTATTGTGTACAACTGTCGGACTTTTCGTAGATATACACAAATCTAGTATATATTAGTCAATCTTATATTTGTATTTGAATTTATTACTAAATATACTTACAAGTTTCAGTTAAAAAGTGAAAATTCCTTAATTGACACTTATAAGAAAAATATAAAATTTTAAATTCCACGATTTGGTTGTTTCTCGCCCCAGAAATTGAACATGGCTATAAAATATAAAAATCGTTAAAGAAGTAACCTATAATAATATATCGAATTCAGTGTTTGGTAGTCTGTAGTTTT